TCTCTGTGTTGTTCCTCTGCCTCATGGTCTTGGGGACGGGACCTCCAGTGGAGGCTCTTCTCTCTTGGTGGTCACAGGATTCTCCACTCCTGCTTCTGAAATGGCTCTGTGAGACCCAGAGTCATAGCAGCACGGATCAATCCCCTCCATTAGTGTTTCACACTCTCTGTTGGCATGGACCCACCCAATCCTTTGGTGGGAATTACAAAGACACAGACATAAGGAATGAAAAGCCCACTGCCATACCAAGCAATGTCCCCACACCACGGGCCACCTCATCAGTGGTAACAGGAAGCAGCATTTTGTGTACATGTGAATATACATATTTTAAGACTGAATGTATAGAGATGTGTTCCTGCACCTACATTCACACATATACACGTGCCTGGTGCATTGTTTTTAAAGGTACTACAGCTTTAACCAGTCATGCATGCCAAATGAGAGGGTTTACCTTTCCAATGTGATCAGCCAGCATCTTACCCTCCCAGACCCCACTCCACACGTTCCTCCAGGTAAAGTGAGCATTGCTTGCTGCAATCTATGAAATACTATCACTCAGTTCAGCATTAGCCTAACTTACACCCCACTTGTGGTTAGCCTCACTCACCTTATGTTTGCCTCATCCAAGCCTCTGTGGAATTTTTATAGCTTTCTGCATTGCTCAAGGGCAGCTGTATCACATGGACCATTCTACCAGGAGGGTCATTAAGACACTAAATAAGATTGCTTGGGTACCACAAACACTATCTGTGTGAGACAGGGTTCTCTAGAGAACAAAAGCCAGAATGCTAATAATTTTATATATTTTTATATATACAGATAGATCGATATATAACATAAGAAACAAACAGTTAATTAAATTATAAAGTGGCACAAATGGTTCAGCGCAACTCACTCCCGTGAGACAGTTGTGAGACACTGGCAGTCCTTCAAGTCTTGAGGGCTGCTGGGTAGTCCCTTGTAGAGCAATTCAGGCTGTCCGGGCACAGGCAGCAAATAGCAAGGCAGGTCACCAAGTCAGCCAGATAACAGGGTCTGACAGTCCTCAGCTCAAGAGATGTAAATTCCAATGGTGTGGCAAAGCAGGTCTTGAAGGAACCTCAAATTATAGTGACACAGTCCACGGGTTAGGGGTCCCACAGGTAGTGTAGCTTGCAAATTGAGGCACAGAACAAGCAAGGCAGCCGCACACTAGTCTGATGATCAAAGAGCAAGAGACAAGAAAGGCTTGGCTTGCCAAGCCATTTATCTCTCCGCCATTTAATTAATCCCACATGTGTTTTAGCGGCCAGGTTGGCACAATAAACTAACTACCTCACTACCCTTATTGTTTTATCTAAATTTTATGGTTAGAATTTCCACCTTGTGATAATCTTGTGACTGGCGTAACCGACAGGACCTGGAAAAGTAGGTGACTCTCCCAGTAGGAGCATTCCAGTGTAAAAGTTTGTAAACTCAATGTATTCCGATCACAGGTGACACTCCATTAAGCCAGCCGGTGTGGCTGTGGGATGTCTCGACATCTTAACGTGGAGTTGGTGAGTTGGGCCTCTGCTGCTGCACACGGCACCAGCCCTGTGGTTGCAATTGGTACAATGCCCCCAAACTTTCTCCTCTTTCATCCTCTGGACTGCTTTTCCTTTTCCTTCAAACCTCTCCTCTAGTATTTGGGGAGAGAGGGATCTTTTGGTATTTGCATCACAAATGTCCCCAGCCCCTCCCTCTTCCCTTCTCTAGGCAGGACTTCTGCTCTATCCATCTCTCTTCCAATAACCAAAACCACTACCATAGAGTGGATGCCGATTCACAGCAACCCTGAGTCAGAATTGACTTGTTTTCTCTTCCCAAAAACACTCCCAACAGGCCTGAGAAGTCTATTCCCCACCCCCACCCCCAAAGAGAGGGTTTATGAAGAACCCTGGTGGCATAGTGGGTTAGGCTGAAAGGTTGATGGTTCAAACCTACCAAGGAAAATGCGACTTTCTGCTTCTATAAAGGTTGACGGTGTTGGTACCCAAGGGAGCAGTCTACTCTAGCCTATTGGGTCACTTGATAGCGGTGGGTGTGCTTCTTTGGGTTTCAGAGATTGGGTGGAAGGAGCGGTGCAGAGGGTCTTTGTTTTGAACGCAATGGGCCTGTGAGCTGTGAGCACTCCACGTGTCTTGCTCATTTTTGTCCTTAGTTGTGGTAGTTATATAATCGTTTGTCAATTTGAAGATTGAGTGTAGGGGTGGAGTCTAGCCTGTCAATCAGGATATAGCCAATCAGGCCTCTGTGGGCAAGGCCTTCTCCTGAGGATTCTGGGAACTCTTGTATTTCTTCCTTAGAGGTCGGAGATTCTCTCTCTCTCTCTGTGTCTCTGCTCACTCCCTGAGAGACACTCTGCTGACAAGACACACGGCACTACGCTGACAAACTCCATGCCCTGAGAACTGGAGGACCCACGTGGAGACCCCTGCCAGTGCTGAGAGGTTTACGCCACTGGATCCACAAGACTCCCAACCCACTGGCCTGTGATCTTCCTGAATTCGGGATCATTGCATGTGTTTCATGAGTCTGAAGACTTTATAGATCGATATTGAACATACGGCCTAATACCAGACTTATGGACTTGATCTGGACTGGGCTGGGATGTTTTCTCAATATTCAATTGTTCTTATACACGAGTGTCTATGAATTTGTTTCTCTAGTCTACACAAACTAACATGTTAGCTCTGTTGGAATTCATGATTTTCCCTTAAGATGTTAGAGAGTAACCTCTCTCTCTCTCCAGGAGTATAATGGAACTCATTAATACCTGCAACTGAAAATTGTCAAGACCTTCCTACGGTAGCAAACAACGTGAAAACCAGACAGCCTGTCTGGAGTTTAACCTGTTGTTGGTGTTGTTGGTGTTGTTGCTGTTGCTGCTGTTAGGTGCTATCATCTCCATTCCAAAACCCGTGCTTGTCCTCTATGTACAACAGAACGAAACACCAATAAACAGTCCTGCACCATCCTCACATTGTTGCAGCCACCATGTCACCCCATTTCGAGAGGGTCTTCTGTTCCAAGGACTGGTCTCTCCTGGCAACATGTCCCAAGTATGTGAGACCAAGACTTGTCATCCTTGCCTCTAAAGAGCATCCTGGCTCGACTTTTTCCCATCAGAGTTGTTTGTTCTGTTGGCGTTCTATGGCGCTCTCAAGAGTCTTCTCCAGCACCACCACTCAAACGCATCGATTCTTCTTCAAGCTTCCTTATTCAATGTCCAACTTTCACATGCATAAGAAGCTATCGAAAATACAGTGGCCTGGTCAGGTGCACCTTAGTCCTCAGAGTAACATCCTTGCTTTTCAACGCTCTATAGGTCTTGTGCAGATTTACCCAGTGTGATCTCTTGACTGCTCCTTCCATGAACATTGATTGTGGAGCTAATAAAAATAAATCCTTGTCAACTTCCATCTTTTCTCCGTTTATCATGTTGTAAGAGCCCTATAAAACACTGAACTCATTAACTGGTCAACAATTCTCAATAACGCCCTTGCTCTTTCCCTTCACAAATATCTCATCCGTTGGCTTATTTACTGCAGGCAGCTCAAACCACCCAGCCACAAGAACAACTGCACCACAAGTCACTGGTGCAAGAATGATGACTTGGTACCTTAGAGTTGGCACCATGTTATCTCAATCTAATGTAGTAAAGGCTTATATATGTTGCTTGTCTCCCAGTACTAGAATGTAAACTCCACGAGGGCAGATATTTGTCCATTTTGGTCACTGTTAAACACTCAGCCTCTAAGGTATACATAGTTGGCATTCAATACATAGTTGACAAGGTTGTTAGCTAGTTAATTCATTGCTCAGACCGCACAAGAGGAATGGGATATCTCAACTAAACCACCTAGCCTGCTTAGGGTTTGCACCTGGATGTGTGGGAGAGAAGATGAACTATTAGCTTCCGGAGGAGTAGTGGCTAAAGTGCTCAGCTTCTAACCTAAAGATGGACAGTGCAAACCCAGCAGTCGCTCTGCAGGAGAAAGACGTGGCACTCTGCTTCCATAGAGAATGCGGTCTTGGAAACCTGATCGGGGCAGTTCTGCTCTGCCCTTTGGGGTTGCCAGGAGTTGGAATTGACTCCACAGCCATGACTTCGGTTTTGTTTGGGGTGTAAATTGTCACACCTGTACCAGTTGCCAGACTCTAATTCATGGTGGCCCCACGTGTCAGAAGAAATGCAATGTGTGTGAACAATGTCTGCTTCGGAAAATAAACAGCAACATCAATAAACCAAGTGCCTCACTCTTGTGCGTCAAGCAATTCTTGGATTCCCCAAATCCACCAACAACCATCTCCCTACCAACCCTGGGACTTACCTCACACATGTATGCCAGCACCAGGTGGGTATCCGCAGACTGGCTCAGTCAATGCTGTGCGTGCAAACAGCCACACAGCCGCTTCTCCCAAGCCTCCTTTTCCTTCATCACTCTGGCTGTGGGAAATGCAGCATTTTCATAACGATGCCTCAATTAAATGTAGACTAGTCAACTGCTTGGTAAATCGTACGGAATTAAAGTTTGTTGTTTGGTGTTGGGTTGACTCATGGGAACCCTACGTACATCAGAAGGAAACATGGCCCAGGCTGATGCCATCCTCACAATTGTCATACTGGAGCCCACTGTCGTCGCCACTAGAGACATCTCCATCTCATTGAAGGTCTTCCTCACTTTCATTGACCCTCTACCTCTATGTACCTGGAATGGCCATCCTCTGGCACTCTATCTGCTGCTATTCAAAGGTTTCCGGTGGTGACTACTGTAGAAGTATCCTACCTCCTTCCTTCTTTCTAAGGTGTTCTCAGTCTGGCACCAGGGGTGTTTTTTGAAATACCAGTGGCAGAGCTTCCAGCATCATCGCAACACACAAGCCACCACAGTAGGACAAACAGATGAGTGGAGATGGAAATAAAGTAGGGAAGGGAGAAAAAATCAACTAAGACGTAATGTGTCGACATTTTTTTTTTAATATTTGGTATTTGTAAGTCTTTTTAAAAAAATTATTCAGGCCATTTTTCCTTAAAAAAAAAAAAAAGTAACCAACAGCAATCCTCTGTACAAGTATAACAAACATTAGAAATAGGCATCACTCCAAAATAGTTACAAGAAAATTACAGTTTAGAGTCCACATCAACACTTCCTATTCATATGTGCCCCCGAGGGAGGAAAAGTTACAGTATGTTAAACACACAACTGCTACACAGTAGTCTGAAACCTCAGAACTTGGACTTTTTGATCAGTCACCAAGACTTGTTTAGCTAAACAAGCGCAATCAAGCATTTTTAAGGACCAGGGCTCTTCCATCCTAGATGAAAAGCAAACATAGATCAGCTACATAAGAGACCCACCACCCCAACCCTAACCCAACCCCAGGAGCCTCTGACTTTGGAAAGTCGATGATGCCAAAGTCTGGCTGGAGGTCACTACATGACCACAGTGAACAGATCCCAAACGGTCATTGGTTAAGTTCACCTTTGGAGGCAAAACTCTCTGTTCTTGGCAGAAGACATGAATGGATCAACTCTGCCATACTGACTGGCCACCACGCTTGGCCCTCTCCTTGCCACCAAACCCCCACTGTTCTGCCTGGAGCTGTCCAATACTAACCAGGGGTGAGGAACCCAGCCCCGCAGAATTCCACTGGACTTCCCAAGCTGCGGTTCACTGCTCCTAGGCGCTGGACGCTAAGAAGCACTCACTCTCCTCTCGCTTCAGGAACCTGAGCAGCAACCATCATCCCACGTGTCTTTGCATGTACATGCGACTCTCCCTTCTTCCGCTGCTGAGCTGCAAACACACTCACTGCCCCACTGGCCCTGTCCCCAGTCCTCTGCAGAGAAGCATCCCGGACTGTGTGTGACCTGCCTGTTGGCATTCCAGACCTCCCCGCCTCGAGCTGGCCTCCCAGCATCCTGCAGTGATATCGAAGATGGCCACTGCCCTCCTAAGCCCACGTCAGGTGGGAGAGAGAATGGTTCCTGGTGTTAGCTTTTTCTTATGCATATCTTTGTGTTATTACTGTTATCATCGTTGGAAGGGGTTTGTAAAGGGGCAATTCCTTTCCTGTGAATTCTCTGCAGTCTACTTCCCACTTGCGGGGCAGAGAGGGGGACCGGGCTGAGTGCCTGCAAGGGATTTGACCCTTAGGTTTTCAGACACACTGGAGTAGGGACGGGGGGGTGGCCCAAGGAACCGCTGAACAAAGTCACAGACCTGTCAGGGCTCTGCCATCAGTCAAATCCAGCTTTCCTCTCACCCTAGGGACAGCATGGCTTCCCTGAGTCAGATCTACAGGGCCAGAGCCCCACTCCGAAGTTAAGCCACGTGGGCTCTCCTGGCCAGACCAGTCTAGTCCTTCAATGAGCTGCTGGCTACCTACCAAAGAAAGCCAAGGAGTCAGGGGGGGAAAAAAAGTGCAATTTCCACTTGGGAAGTAGAGTTTTTCCCCCAAACCTGAACACCCTACCATGTCTCCTCTTCATCCATTCAGTACCTCAAAGGGAAGGGGGCAACAAGAGGCATGTAGCACCATCCCGCTCAACAGCACTGAAGGCTGTAGGTGCATACGCTGTGGTGCACCCTACCAGGCCCTCAAATGCCCATGTGCATGCCCACTCATCAAAGTGCCAGGTAGGCAAGGAGCAGGCAGCATTAGATTGGTTCCCACAGACCAACAGTGATTGGGTGGGGTCGTGGGGTGCTCGGAGTCCACCCAGCTCCCAATTTTCAATAGGACGCATTCGTCCTGAGCTTACAGCAGGATTTCTGACTATAGGAAAGGGCCCCAGGCCTCCAGGGAGTGGGCTAATTCCTTCATAAGTCCTTGTATACTTCATTGTCTGTGAGAGGGTAACCTCAAAACGTCTTCAAAATATCACCTGAGCCACAAAGTAAAAGAAATGAAGATCCTTTCATGTTAATGCCTTGAGAACGCTACAGATTATGTACCAGTCAAATAAATCCACATCAACTCTGAAATTCGTGGTGGATATACACCTGAAGACGAAACTGAAAAAAGAATCTACATTTGAAAACAAAAAAAAAATCAAAGGAATTACAGCAGCAGTATACTGAAAAGAGGTTGTAAAAATAATAATTACATCCTTGATACAAATTCAAACTGTATACACCTCAACTCTGACTCGTACGAATGACTGTTGTTTGGAGCGTTTATATACACACAGCAGATACCAAGACGTGTCACTGCAGAGAGAGACTAAAGCCAGTGGATTTGTTTCTTTGGGGGAGGAGGGAGGTGAAAAAGGGCTGATTTGACACTGTTTTCACACGGAAGTGTTCACAGATTACCACGCTTTTAAACACGCGCGCGTGCACACACACACACAGACACACATAAAATGCCAACCTGAGTAAAACATTACTAAAAAACCTAGGGCTTCATGATACACTAAGTCACATATTGCACCTTTAAATAATTCTTCTTACCAAATACAGAAATGAGACCAAGGGTAAGACGGTTCAGAAAAGGAGGCTGTGCCATCACGGGGGTCCTCTCTTCTTTCCCCGCAAAGTCTCAGGGTGGTATTGGAGTCTCCACTCTTACCCAACCCAGGGGCCGAAGGTGTCGCCAATAGGCAAGTCCTTGAGGAAGAAGAGGTGGGCAGGGGACGAAAAGATGGCGCACAACACACGGGAGCCAGCGGGGAGAGGAAGAGGCCTCCTCCACCGAGAGAGAACAGGATGTCACCCGGAAGGCAGAGCCTTGGGTCCTAAACTACTGCTTAAATATTCCGCATATTCCAATCAATTAGGAGATTCAATACAAAAATAGAGAATATCTACTGAGTTTTGCCTGTGGAAGCATAATTCAGAAAAGGCACATGGTCAAATAGGAAAAAAAAAACAGAAAGAAAGAAAAGTCATGTCAGACAGGCACCACACACCTCTTCTGACACGGTAATCGTCCACAATGATGTGTTTTCCATCAGCAAGATTCCCAGCTATAGTAGGTAAAAAATAGGCCTCTGATACTTAAAATATATGCAACCCAGCACAAGCCTTGCTTTCGCATGTGAGTCATAGAAAATAGTCTTTTGTAAAAAGAACCTGTTTTGAAAAAGAAAAAAAGAAATAGTACAGCTCATTTCTCCTGGTTTCCCATCATCCTCAAGGGAAAATAAACAGCCACAAAACTCATTCCCTCTCCCCTAGGTAATCAGGGATTCGGCTGCCCTGCTCACCAGCCATCTCCAGCCCCCGCCAGCCCCAACTTTTCACTCGTCATACTACACACCTGCAGCTCCACACCATTGAAATTAGTTGGAACAAAACAGAACACAGATGTAAGATAGGAGACATATGAAAACATGTCAACCGCAGGGTGTTTTCCCCTTTGCTGTGGGCGTAACCGTCTGTTTGGCTGACTCCAGGAAGTTGGTCCTTTGGAAATCAGGCGATGTAACCATTTGTCTTTCCAAACGTGGGCACCGGCGAGAGATTCTCATAGATTGTCATTGCAGTTGTGTTCTGGTAGATGAGATCTACCTTGGAGTCCTTCTGGGCTCGGATGATATCCAGAACACACTGATTGAGGAAAACGTACTGGTCCTGGGGGTACAAGGAAAGAGTGAGTTCAAATGAACATGTGGCCCCCACGATCAGTTTCAGACCCAAAAGTGAAAACTCTGAACTCACTGCCTTTGAGTCAATTCTGACCCACAATGATCCTATAAGCGATGGCTGAGCCCTGGTGTAGTGGTTACGTGGTGGGTTACTAACTGCAAGGTCAGCAGTTTGAAACCACCATTTGCTCCTTGGGAGAAAAACTGGACTTTCTACTCCTGTAAAGAGTGATAGTCTGGAAAACTCACAGCGGCAGTTCTACTCTGTCCTGTATGGTCATTATGAGACCAGTGTCTGTCCATGTAGACGGATTCCCCCAACCCCAATCCCAGCTCCATCCAGCCACCAGCAAACCCTACGAGGTAACAGGTCAAGAGGCAGTCACATCGTGGAGGCACGCTGAAATCACAGAGACCAGGGCCCATTCAAAAGCTCAGCACTAGACTATCTGGAATATTCAAATAGTTATTTGGAAGCAGAGGTTCAGCCTTCCCTTAAAGACCCAAGAGACTTAGTCTCACCTCCTCTCCCCAAGGAGAGCGAAAAGGGAGATGTGGGAGGAGGAGCGGGGAGGTGGCGGTGCACATTCGAACTGTAGAAAGTCTTGGACAAAAACTCCCTGGCAAGTGAGGCTGTGCAGGCTAAGAAGGAAATTGTCATTCGCAACAGAGGGAGAGGCAGCGAAAGGGAGTGAGTGATAGGGACTGAAGGGAGCAGACTGGAATCCTCAGTGAATCATTAAAAAAGCAGGAAGAGATGGAGCATGCTGCCCCAGCAAAATATCCATGATACCGCAAGAGAAAAAAAATCATGAGGCAGGATTTTATAATAAAACAGGGTCCAATGTCACTCACACGTCATGTGGATTTGTGTGTGTTATGTCAACAGACATCCACAAAGAGCCCTACACGGATATATGCCGACCTGTACACAGAAACAACTTCGAGGGAGTCGGGCTGGGCGGAAAAAATTAAGAGGGAAAATATATTGTAGAGCGTCTGAGTTAGTTAGTTCATTGTGTCAACCTGGCCGATAAACACATGTGGGATTAATTGAAGGGCGGAGGGATAAATGGCTCCGTGATCCTCGCCTTTCTAGTTCTCGGGTCTCTTGCTTTGTGATGGCTGCACCAGGGTGCAGCTGCCTTAGCAGTTCCCTGCTTCAGCGTGCAAGGCTCACTTCCTGCAAGACATCCCCAAGGAGAAACTGCATGGACCTACCTCGGTGCAACCCTGGGTGCTGGAGCACTCGTGTGGAGACCCCTGCCAGTGCTGAGATGCTTACACATTCACTGACTCAGCTTTCCGCCTGCAGTCGGCATCATTGCCTCTGTTATGTGAGATGGAGGAGGACTTTGTGGATTGGTGTTGGACATATGGGTTAATGGGTTAATGTTGGACTTGTGGGCTTGGACAGCATTGGGTTGGGATGTTTTCTTGATGCACACTTTATATAAAACTCTCTCTTATACATGAGTTTCTGTGGATTTGTTTCTCTAAAGTACCCAGACTAATACAGCGTCCTAGGTTATTTTTCCCCCTATGAGCAAGTATTACTGTCAAAATCTAAAAATAAAAAAAGAGAGAGAGGAGGAAATAATTCGTAAGATTTTTTTTTGTTTTGCAAGAGATTAAAAGACCGAGCCACAGTAACTCCATTGACGCCACTGCCAGCCAAGGCCGAGTCATAGTAACGCTACAGGACAGAGTAGACTAGAGCTGCCCGCAGGGTTTCTAAGGCTGTAGTCTTTATGGAAATAGACTACCACATCTTTCTCCCCTTGGGTGGACAGTGGGTTCAAACCACCAACCTTTTGTTTACCAGCAGAGCTCTTAACCACTGTGCCACTAACGGCTCCTTTGAGAAACACAACTACATATAATTAGAACAGAAAAAGGAAACGCTTTTCTTCTGACCAATGCAGGAGGGAAATTCCACTCTTTTCATCATAGCCATGCTCTCTCCCCAAAGATGCACCCCTATCTTGAACACATCCCCTGCTGGACTGAAAACCACCACACCAATTCCTAGAGTTCTAAAATGGTACAGGCAACAGCCCGATACAAATGTCCTGTGTTTCTCTGACTCTGCTCAAGGTGCGTTCATCCATGCAGCTTAGAGGAAGGCTCCTTTCCAGGATCCTCTGTTGTGAGCATGCACAGAAAACGCTGCTCATGAGGAACAGTTAGGGGAAGGCCAAGTTCAATGGCCTACCACAGATGATGACGTCGATACGCGGTGACTGCTCAGAAGTACACTGGTGTTTTCATGCCTGGACATTGCTGAAAGGGCACAAGTTAACTCATGCTTGCACTCACATTGGATCATGCAGTTTGAAAGCAATCCAGATCTCTATAGGACTTGGCTGCACTTGACGATTTGGGCTCGAAAGTCAACAGAGTAAGCACGCATTTTCTCCATTGGTCAGCAGTCCTCCCTGTGGCTCAGAGAGTCTACCCTCTACATGAGAACATTTAGGCTGGTTGAGAGCACATTGCTATTACTGTTAGGTGCCCTTGCATCAGTTCTGACTCACAATGACCCCACATGCAACAGAGTAAGACCCTGCCCGGTCCTGGGTCATCCTCACACTGGTCCTTATGTTTGAGCCATTGTGGCGGCCACTGCGTCCATCCACCTTGTCCAAGGTCTTCCCCTTTTTCCAGCCCTCCACTTTACCAAGCACGATCTTCTTCTCCAGGGACTGGCCTCTCCTCACAACATGTCCAAAGAACAGGACACCCAGCCTCCCCATCCGCGCTTCCGAGGACATTGCTGCGCTAGTGCTTCCAGCATCACTACTATTAATGGCTAATGGATCGCTCGGTTAACGGTGAATGGTTTCATTTGCTTGTTTCACGGATGGTCAGATTTTAGAAACAATGAGTGGGAAAATGCCAATCCTATAAGTTTAACCAAGAAATCAAAGTTCAGAGACTTGTTAGAATTATTTTTTATTCTAACCAGTGGCAGGAAGGGAAATCACTTGGATCTTGGTTTGTTACCCTATCGTAGCTATTAATTTTACTATGCCCCTACATCTCAGGAGAAAGATAGGCTTTCTATTTCCATAAAGAGTTAGTCTTAAATGAGTGCTATAGCAAAATGTGGTGAAGAAATTAGATGGTGCCCAGCTACCTAGTAAAACAGCATCTGGGATCTTAAAGGCTTGTCTCCAAACAAGCAGCCATTTAAGTGCGATGTCAACTAAGTCCACGTGGAAGCACACGGTCATCAGTCACCAAAGGTTTGTGAGGCGTCTAACCCGAAACCGAACGAGGAAATAGTATCAGAGCCTCCACTGTGAGAATCGGATTTGCAGAAGGCTATGAATGACAGTGGGAGCCCAAGAGACATTTGTGGGAACGACGTAGGAAAGAAGCCTCCCGTGAACTCCCTTGATCCAGAATAGAGGGGTGGGAGGGAAGTGCTTACTAAACAGAGTGCCTTGGCGATGAGTATAACCGATCAAAGGGCTAAAGCTGACCAGAACAGTTAAAACCTTGTCACCTGATCCTCCCCTCCCTCTGATGCATGCTGGACCTGACCTGGTTTTCAAAATATTCTGTATTATTTGTTGTTTTCTGTTTGTTTGTTTGTTCATATTAGGGTTTATCTCAGCTGTCTTATGTCATTGAAGATCACCTTCTTGAATTTATGTTATTCGTTTTCCTGTTTCTCAGTATAGGAAACCCAAGATTGATGAACCTATAGGGTCAGCAAATAGAATAAGGGGGGGTGTGGGGGGGGGGGTGGGGTATACAGTGGTGGTGGATAAAAGGAAGACAATGTCAAGGATTCCAGGAAAGAAAAGCTTGTTTGCAAACTGATTGTGGTAGCAATTGGACAATACTGCTTGATATGATTGAACCATGGAATGATATCTGTATTAACTCCCAATTAACAAGAGATTTAGGCTTAGAAGCCCACGAGGTCAGTTCTAGTCTGTCTATAAGGTTGCTGTGAGACCTAGGATCAACTTGATGGCAGTGAGTGTGTTGTTTTTAGGGGCAAGGATGTTATGGCCCTTTGGCTGTGAGTGTTGTTGGTTGTTGTCAGAGCAGCCCTGGCTCCTGGCAATCCCGTGCACAATGGGATGAAGCACCGTGGGGCCCGCACCATCCCCACGACTGCAGCGAGCCGTAGGACTTTCTTTCACTTGACTGATATCCAGAGGCCTATCATCAGGCCTTTCTTCCCAGTCAGTCTGAATATTCTGCTGAAATCTGTTGGGCATCGCAGCTATATGCATGCCCTCCCTGACAGATGGGTGGGGGCTAAGTGTGAGGGGCACTGGGCCGAAATCAAACCCAGGTCTCACTCAGCTAGAGCAAGCATTCTACCCCTGCACCACGGGTCTCAGTGTACATATGGGGTCATGCCGAATCATGGAGACATTAGTCAATTCAGGGTCTCTAAAAGACCCCCCACAGTCAAGAGCCAGAAAGGTCTAGAAGGGCAAAAATCTCTGAACACCAGTGTGGCATGATGCCAGCCTTTGGAAATGGTTGGCAAGGTGGACTGTTAGATCTTGGCCTCACCTCGGTCTGCACCATTAAAGGCCTGTGCATCCGGAGGTCATACACAATCCCGTACACGTCCACAGTGTTCTCGTTCTCCATCTGGTAGATGAGACGATCGATGGCGATGAAGGTGCCTGTCCTTCCAACCCCCGCACTGAAAGACAGAGGAGATACGCCTGTCACAATGGGTCCCATCCACCATCCAACCCCCAACCTTTCCTACGCGGAGATTGTTTCTCCCTTTCTAAACCAACCTCGGCAGGCTGTGTGCCCCTCTCTGGTGACAACTCATGGTGGTCATAGAAGTTCCCCTGATCTGCTCCACTAACACCTGTGCTCCACGGTCTTTGAGGCCAGTGCTCAGGCCCATGAAGCATTTGATAGGTTAGAATGGCTCCCCTTAGCTAGTCAGATGGTCCCAGCTTGGGACTGGGACCCAAAGGCCCCCATTGAGTCAAATGCCACAAACCAAGCATTTCCCAAGAGCCTCATGACCCACAGTTCCAGTCAAGAAATCCCTTCCCTCCTTCTGTCCCGAATTGATTGCTTTTTGCTGTAAAGCTAATTTCTTATTGTGCTAGAGCAGGAATTATCAAAACTGTTTCCTGTGTGAATGGTTACCTCCTGCATTCTAATTGATTCTGATTCATAGCAATCCTATATAAGGTTTCTGAAACTGTAAGCCTTTTTTTTAAATCATTTTATTGGGGGCTCTTACAGCACATTGTGTCAAGCACATTTGTATGTTTCCATCATTTTCAAAACGTTTTCTTTTTATTTGAGCCCTTGGTATCAGCTCATTTCCCCCCTCCCCCACTCTCCCTCACTCATGAATCCTTGATCATTTTTTTCCATGTCTTACACTGACTGCTATCTCCCTTCACACACTTTTCTGTGTCCATCCCCCTGGAAGGGGGTTTTATGTTGCTCATGGTAATCGGAGCTCCCTTTCTCATGCCACCTTTCCCTTCCCCTCCTGGTATCACTACTCTCATTATTGATCCTGAAAGGGTTATCTATCCTGGATTCCCTGTGTTGTAAGCTCTTATCTATGCCAGTGTACATTCTCTGATCTAGCCGGATTTGTAAGATAGAATTGGGGTCATGATAGTAGAGGTGAGGAAGCATTAAAGACCTAGAGAAAAGTGATATGTTTCATCAGTGCTATACAACACCCTGACTGGCTCGTCTCTTCCTTGTGACCCTTCTGTAGAGGGATATCCAATAGTCTACAGATGGGCTTTGGGTCTCCACTCCGCCCTCCCCTTCATTCACATCAATATAATTTTTTTGTTTTGGGTCTTTGATGCCTGATACCTGATCCCATTGACACCTCATGATCAGAGACTGTAAATCTTCACTCCGCCCATGTACTTTATTTATTTAAAATCATTTTATTGAGGGCTTGTACAACTCTTATCACAATTGAGACTGTAAATCTTTGAGGGGGCAGACAGTCTTGTCTATCTCGCTCAGAAGAGCTGGCAGGTGTGAACCATTGACCTTACAGTTAGCAGCCTAACCCACAGAATCAGCAGAGAGTAAATATGTTTCGTTTTGTTTTTTGCCTTTGGGACCAAGTAGTCTCTATCACAACTACTCAACTCTGTCATTGCAACATGATGGCAACCAGACCATACCATACATGAATGAATGAATGAATGAATGAATGAATGAATGAATGAATGAATGGGGATGGCTGTATTCCAATAAAACTATGACTGAAACAGGAACCTGGCCAAATTGAGCCTGTAGGGCATAGCTTGCCAACCTCTATTCTAAGGTTCAGGGCTTAGAGCAGAAGCCTATGGTCGCTTGTTCATGTTGTTGTTAACTCTGTCACGTTGGCCCCTGACTCATGGTGGCCCCATGCACAACAGAATACAGTACTCCCTGGTCCTGCGTCATCCTTACCAAGGGTTGTAAGTTGGATCATTGTGATCCACAAGATTTCCCTCTGGCTGACTTTCAGAATTACATCATCAGGCCTTTTTCCCCTATACTACCTTAGTTCAGAAGCTCTGCAGATACCTGTTCTGCATAACAGCAACACACAAGCCTCCACTGTCAGGTGGGTGGGGGTTGGGCATGAGGTGCCTTGGCCAGGAATCAAACCCAGGTCTTTCACGTGGAAGGGCAGAATTCTACCACTGAACCACCACTGCCAGCCCGTGTCTACACCTTTCTTGAATTTGTAAATACCTACTGAATTCCCTCTTATTCCTTGCTCTCCTGATGTGCTCATAAATATATGCCTTACAGGGTCAACCTGTCACTTTAAAAGTCCAGGGACCCCTCCCTCATCCCACCCCACCCCAAGTGTGCACGCACACACATGGAGTGCCAGCTGCATACCTGCAGTGCACCAGAATGGGCGTTTCAGGAGGGCTCTGCTTCATGTAGTCACGCACCAGGTAGCGGAAATTGATGAGCAGGTCAGTGGTGTCAGGAACACCATGGTCCGGCCAAGAGGTGAAATGGAACTGTCGCAAAGGGTGATTCTCACTTGTCTGGACCTAGAAGTCGATGTAAGGGGTCCAAGTTAGAGAGGATCACTGCAAACACGCCAAGACAGACAAGTGAAGCCAAGCGGCCGTTCAATACTGGACTCCCCGGGACAGAAGACTCAACAGTAGGACTTATTTGATCGGATGCATGCCCGACAAAAGGGACCTGTGTTTTGATGTGCCATTTCCTGGCAATGCCTCGATTTCCCAACACTGCCTGGAACACCTACACAATTTCTTTGCATTGGTTGTCGCATCTTTGGGGAGAAAGGATGCCATGCGCACATGTTTGAAATCGGCTGAACGTAACTGTTAGCACTCGTGGCCAATGAAT